TGCGAAGCCAACCCAATCTCCTTCTTGATTAGCGCAGGTGACAATGCTCACTCTATCTTTTTGCGAGTGCCTATTATAGACTCTTCGAACTGCTAGCTCTTCATTAGTAATAATTGTTCTGCATAAGGGACAATTTGGATGTTCCGGGTTGTTTACATAGATTGCGAAGCAATTTTTGTGAAACATGTGTTCACATGGCAGCAATCTTTTCACTGGATGCGTTTGCATTGGACGCCTACAAATAGCACAATTATCTCGAAAATTCATGTGTCTAGAATTTTTTGATATCTGCCGACGAAAATAACTCGAATAAATCTGAAAAATTCAATAATTTTTTTACGATTTTGCTGCCAAGAGTCTAAGCGGACAACTTGTTATAACAAGGACATTTGTCGTTATGCAGGGACCAGCCAGATTTGGTTTAATAAAGGTCGGTGTGTCAGAAAACCCGACTTGAAAGAATCAAATTACAATTTTTGATGTCTAAATTTCAAATTTTTATGTTGTGCGGATTTTGAAAATCAATTTTTATTTTCCAAATCACATTTTACCTTATCTTAAATACATTTTCCTATTTCCAAAATATATTTCACTCTTACCATTTACAAGTTATATTTTCCAAAATTAAAATTACCATTCCAAATTTCATTTTTTTGTTTTACAAAATTAAAATAACTATTTCAAATTTCAATTTACATCTTCCAAAATTAAACTTAGAATTCCAAAATTCATTTCACACAATTCAAAATCAACTTTCTATTATCCAAATAACAACTGGAAATGGTGCAGTAATTACCCTCTCCAACAGTTTATGAATAGGTATTATGAATAAGATACACACTGTTTCTGAATCAACAGAAACAACTGCTAAATTATTATGCACTAGAAATTAAGATAAGTTGTAATGATATTACTTTCTACAAAAATTAAAATTTGTCTGGTTTTTGTTTTTTCATCACTGTGCCAAATTGTTTTGCTTTTTCAAAATCTGGAAAAGCTATAAAGTTTCCGAGGAGGAGGTCACTTTATAAATAGGTGTTCAAATTGGAAAGCTATATTTACTAAAATACATTTAAATACAGATGAATACATTTGAATAGAAGTAAATACCCTTAAATAAAAATAAATACAAATAAATACCTATAAAATATGTCAAATCCCCACCATCATGCGCAGTACGCACGAATAGTGTAGTTGCTTACTTTAGCCGCTGGCGGACGTGTTGGCGTGGTTTACTTACGGACGGATTTATCGGCACGCTATAAGGAAGAACGACGAACGCCGATTACTTATATATTTTGTGTGATTACGAGAGTAATTATTCTGAAAATCATTTATAAACCTTAAAACATCGTTTAATATAATAACAACTCGAATAAAAAAGGTAGGTTTAAATCGAGAAAACTATCCTCCGAGCGATCCATGATATATCTCAACTCCTAAAAACAAGACTAGATATTATATGCTTCTTGCTTAAATGCAACTAGGGTTTCTGATTTAACTCCAAGGAAGCCAGAAATGTATAATATGGGTGAACTTCAACAGCAAACATTTTCAAATTTAAAGTTAAGATTTTGCAGACTTAGAAATGAAAAGAAATAAGCTTCAGAATTTTCAAAAAATCAAATATTTGAAAACCTAAGTTCAAAATTAAATCCCAATGGAGTTTCATTATTTGAATGTACATTCTATAATGCGAAAAGGAAACCACCTACCTGGAAGACAACTGATAAAGCTTTTGCCCTAGCACTGTATAAACGTGGACCTAACTCATTCATATTTTTGAGAAACTTTATTCCTTTGCCATCCCAAAGTACTCTGAAATATATTTCAAAAACTATATCTTTTGAACCTGGCATCAACACACAATTATTCCAAAAGTTGTCCGAAAGAGTTTCCAAATTGTCTGCGCTGGATGGAACTTGTAGCCTCATTTTTGATGAGATTGCCTTATCTGACCAAGCAATGCTAGATAAATAAAATGATAAAATATCAGGCTATGTTGATCTCGGTTCTTTAGGTAGAAGAGATTAATTTGCTAATCATGCTCTTGTATTCATTATACATGGGTTGAAAAAAATTTGGAAACAACTTGTGGCCTATTTTTTCACGAGAGATGTAATAAAGACCGCTGACTTAGGAAACTTATAAAAAGAAGTCATTGAAAATTTACAAAATATTGGCTTAAGTGTTATGGTCACAATATGTGATCAGGGTTCTACAAATAGAGAAGCAATATCTCAGTTGCGTGGTGATAAGAACATTGCTAGACCTGGTCAATTTATTTTTGTGAATGGCCAACAAATTTTCAACATTTTCAATCCGCCACATCTTCTCAAGTCAAATAGGAATGCGCTTTTCAATTATAATATTCGGTTTGGTAATGATAAAGTGACAAAACTAGGCCATATAAAACATTTTTTCTGCGAATAACAAGAAATGTCAGCATTTTCGACCGGCTGACAGGTCGCAAAACTCAATATTCTGGTATTTCAATTATGTTTCAATAGTTGCCAAGGAATCAACAAATAACAATACGGAAAACACTTTTCCGGCCTAGGCCGGGAAGGTGATTCTCGTATTGCTGAATAATTGGAACTAAAAGACAAACATTTAACAGGTATTCAACCGATCGCAGAAAAAATAGTATGTGTATTTCGGTAGAAAAGCACATTCTCGGCCTTCGGTGTTTGCCGGCCTCCGGCTACGCCTCGCCCGACACCTTACACCATCGGCCGAGAATGTGTCACTTTTCCACCTAAATACACAATATACTATTCTTTTAATTGATAAAAAAAAAAAAACTTTCCAAGGTTTAAGAAAAATAAGGTACTCACATTTTAATTTGATACAAAACAACAACTCAAAATGAAGGTATTGTGTGGCGGCTAGAATATTGAGCAATACAATGGCTTCGGCAATTGAGTGCATGACGTGCCTAAATTCAATAAATAAACTACCTGCTGAAGCAATTTACACAGCAGAGTTCATTCACAACGACATTCTTTCCGACAGCTTCAATGGAAGAAGTCCGAAACCGGAAAAGGGCACAACCTACAGAAGGATTATGTCTATGAAATTTCCCCATCGAGTTCTATGGCAAAAGCTTTTATCAAAAATTGATAGTTCGGTCTTTGGGTCGAAGAAGGATAATACGGACAAAACCGATATGCTATTCAAAAATGGATGGATCACCACTTTCAAAGCAATATTATTACTTTTTGAGGAATGCAGGAAAATGGGTTTTAGATATTTAAGAACCCGCTCTCTTAACCAGGATCTTTTGGAAAATAAGTTTTCTTCAATTCGAAGTTACGGTGCTGTTAATATTAACCCCACTTGTCTCCAGTTTACTTCATTTTTCAAAACCTGCCTCTTGAACAATTTATTTGACTATCATTCGCGTGGTCGGAATTGCGAAAAAGATAATGCTAGTATTTAAGATAACTTACATTCGTTCCTCGAAACTGATGATCAAAAAACAAAGATTCTTATGAACCACAAAATATCGAATTTCGAAATGTCATTGTGCCTTTTTCCGACTTAAGTTTTCTTATAGATCACTACGATACTGAAATTGTTGGTTAGGTGGCGGGATTTATTGATAAAAAGTTAAAATTAATGGATTGTGAAGAATTTGATGCCAATTTAACCACTGATATAATTGAGCATCTTCATATATTTACCTGCTTCAAAAAATATTCAGATAATAAAAAACGCTTAATATATGTTACCAAAGATATAGCAACTTTATTGGAAAAAAATTCATGACCTAGTAATATTTATACTACCAAATTTTGGACAAGTCCTTAATTTAACAAAAAAATTGCAAATTTTTTATAAAAAGACACATTAACCTGAATTGGTTCACTTCTGCAAAGAACTTCTAGACGCTATATTTAATGATATATAGAATATGCTTAATAATAAGAAAATACTATGATGATATTTATCGTTCCTTTCAACAAAAGATTAGAGAGAAGTGTCAGAAATAAAAAAATTAAAAGAATTAAACATTTGTAATAATCAGGCCTATGCTATGATGTATCTTTTTTCGTTGAATTCAATGGTTCCTGTTAAATAATTTTAAGTTTTTGTAAATTGTGAAAATTTCACTCAACAAAATAATGGCAAAATGACTACCAAAAACCACTCACGTTCAATATGAGGAGTTGCTTCAATTCATTAGAAATAATAGAATCATTTTATCTGGAAAAACCAAGCCTCTGGAAGGGAAAAAGATCAACATTTTATGGGTTTGCTGCCAAAATAAACAGCAAAGGTTGCGGACCCTTAAAAACTGCTGAACAGTGGAGAAATGTAATTACATAAACCTTTTTATTTATTTATTTTTTAAAACACACAGCGATTAATAAATAGCTATTTATACAATAAGTTGCGAAATGAGTGTCTTTTAGGCACGCGACGTGAAAATTGTCCAACGAGGCAAAGCCGAGTTGGACAACACGTCGAGTGACTAAAAGATTTCGTTTCGTAACGTATTGTATACAAGATTTTTTCTACTGACGTTTCATAATAAAAAAACACAATTTTATTTCAATGTTTGTCGCCTGCTTTTGCTTGACACCTTTCATGTTGGTGACTAATATTCATAATAAATACAAAACAAAATTCAAATTTGCATTTAGTCTGTTTTTTATTTCTGAACAATGAATAACACTTTTAGGCACTAGTGCTTAAAAGTTACTTTTACGCACTTGAAAGTCGCTTTTACGCATTTGAAAGTCACTTTTACGCACTGGAAAGTCACTTTTACGCACTGAGTGCCTAAAAGTCACTTTTACGCACTGAGTGCTCAAAAGAATGTCATTTCAAAACTAAAATGACAATCGAAAAGTTGCTATTATGAAACGTCAGTAGAAAAATTATCTTTAATATAGAGTATAACACACATAGTATATACATATACAGAGATTTTGGTTTTACACATTTGGAACGAATGGAAAACTAACACAAAACGTAAATGTAGAGCCATTCAGCAGTCTCTAATAGGAACAGGTGGCGGTCCTCCAACTTCGAAAGCCCTAACGGATTTGGAGAGACAATTATTAGAGCTGATATCATCCATTAATTTAGGCGATCCTGATGTGATGGACACCCTAAATATAACAAAATCTTCATCAAACGTCGATGAAGATTTTACAACATTCCATGAAACTGAAACTCCCCAAAAATATTTAGAAAATCTCAATGGTCTAGAACATTTGGAACATGAAAAACGACGAATACTTGAAACGATCTTGGAAACGCCAAGAAAAAAAAAGAGACAAGGTATACAAACAGCATTCTATCAAATGCATGTGGAAGTTATGCCGAGGCACAAAAAACCACATTGGAATCAAAAAAATTGGAAGCTTCTGGTTTACTTGAAATAGGCAAAGCTTTGGATAGAAATGTCGTTGCCTTACAAGAAAAAAATTAAATAGAGCTGATGAAACTAAAATTGGAACATCTGAAATATTTTAGAAATTTGGATAATTTTTCACAACTTGAAAATTAGTTTTTCAGTACTCCCTACAGAGATATGTATTTTTTGTTATCAACTATTTATAATGAATATGAAAATAAACTATACAAAATCGAAACTTTAATAATAATTATTATTGACATTGTTAATAGATGAATTAAATTTCCTTATTTTTTAAGTCTACATAAAATTTAATTAGTAAAATACATCTTAACTATCCTTTCTCTAAGACGTCTTCCATCAGCTAAATTTTGTGATGCTGAAAAAAAAATCAAATTGCATAAAAGTTCATTTTTCTACTGACGTTTCATAATAGCAACTTTTAGATTGTCATTTTAGTTTTGAAACGACATTCTTTTAAGCACTCAGTGCGTAAAAGTGGCTTTTAGGCACTCAGTGCGTAAAAGTGACTTTCAAGTGCGTAAAAGTAACTTTCAAGTGCGTAAAAGTAACTTTTAGGCACTAGTGCCTAAAAGTGTCATTCATTGTTCAGAAATAAAAAACACACTAAACACAGATTTAAATTTTGTTTTGTATTTATTATGAATATTAGTCACCATCATGAAGGGTGTCAAGCAAAAGCAGGTGACAAACATTGAAATAAAATTGTGTTTTTTATTATGAAACGCCAGTAGAAAAAATCTTGTATACAATACGTTACGAAACGAAGTCTTTTAGTCACTCGACGTGTTGTCCTACTCGGCTCTGCCTCGTTGGACAATTTTCACGTCGCGTGCCTAAAAGACGCTCATTTCGCAACTTATTGTATAAATAGCTATTAAATTATTGTTAATACAAGTTTGTTCCAAATTACACAGTGCTTCAAATCCATGGACTGCCAAATAACAAATAGTAATAAAAAATTCTCATTTTATTATTTTAATTTGTGCAAGGGTATTCTATTTTACCCGTAGTCTGTTGGCACTTCGTGCGGTCACCGTCATAGTCATAGTGCCAACAGACTACGGGTTACTCAGAGAGCAATGGAAAGAGCCATGATGGGTTGCAAATGGATGACTTCGCGACCACATTAGGAATGAGGACATCCATCGACAAACGAAAGTGACTGACATCGTCAAGAAAATATCCAGTTCTAAATGGCCTTGAGAAGGACACTTGGCCAGACAATTAGAAGAGAGATGGGCGAAAGACTACTATGCTGGAGACCACGCCTAACAAAACTTTCAGTGGGTCGACCTCTTAAAAGGTGGACCGATGACATACGAACCATAGCTGGTAAAAATTGGATAAAGAGAGCACAAAACCGAAACGATTGGAAAGTAATGAAAGAGGCCTACATCTTGCAGAGGATGGATAACGCCTGAAGAAGAGAAGAGATTCCATTTTATTTCGACACTTCACCTGTTACAAAATGGTTAAAAAAAAACTTAAATACAAAATTTGTGAAATGGTAGATAGGTAATTTAAAGGTGTCGATCGTTTGATTAAAATTGGTTGAGGTTTTCTTTGGGATAGAACCGAAATAAAACAACAGAAATCTGTTATCACAAATTGTCGACGTTTCGCAATCTATTATTATGCTTCTTCAGGGATAGTAAAGCGCTGTTCTTAATTACCTACCTATACTATAACAACTCCTAAAAACTCAGAACTTGCATTTAAAATTGGCTGTCTAAGTCAATACTTAAGCTATACACAGGCTGAGGTTTCTTGGAAACGATACATGCAACATACAAGGTGCACAATTTACAATAAAATATACTACAAACTGAGCATAACTTTCACATAATCACATACAGATTTATCAACATTAGTTGAACATAAATTGGAGACCGGACATAATTTCGACTTTGACAACATCACAATTTCACAAACACGAGTGAGCGACAAGATTCAATCATTTTATTTGATATATTATTTATTGCAGGTGTGGGGGTCAATTTTTGACAATATACGTTAAATTACGTATTCGAAAATTTGCGAACAAAAATAAACGTATACGTATCTATAAACCCATTTTTGACCGGTATGCGTAAATGGATAAACGTAGATATTGCGAATTCGTAAACATACGTATGGTTGATTTGACAACGTCGGAAACTTTAGAATGTTTGACAAATTTTTGACGTGTTTTTGTGACAAAAACTAAAAGAAAAGGGGTGCGAATGCCAGTGAAAAGCAAAAGGAACCTGTGAAGTATGTGAAAAGCAAGGTATAGCTAATACGGTTGATAGCTACAGCTTGCAAAAAATTTCAACGCATAATCAAGACCCATGAGTAGTACCGCATTAAACTAACTGTATAACAAACATTGCCAAACAACCTTCTAAATAACATTCATTTCCTACTTTGGAAAATACATCTAAATCTGTTGGTCGTTGTGCCAGACGTGTATGAGGTTCTAAACATTCAACCAATTATCTAACAAGCTCTTTCGACAATCAGAACATAATAATAGGGTGTTTATTTGTAATTCGTTAAACATTCGTGTTAAACATTGTAACTGGACACGTTTAACCTGGAGTTAAAACCAACCCGGAGGTGACTCGTTATTGAGAAACAGGACCTTTGGTTTCGCTCTAGGAATGGATCACAGTGGTTATGTCGATTTCGTATCTCTGCGTTTTCCAAATTATGAATTGCCAGTACATTCATCAAGTTTTTCGTATTATAGTAGATACACTTTGTAATCAAGAAGATGAGACGATAGTGACTGCACTGCTCTTTCGCCAATACGTAGAGCCAGATTAGGCCAATCGTACCCATCACTAGAAGAGATCAGAGGCATCGCCTTTGGCGACGTCATCGCCTACGTAGAATCGCTAGGCTGGATGACGAGCTAATGATGACCTCTCTTCTTGTGGAGGCGTTCAATGGGCATAATTGTGGCTAAGAGCTGTAGCATACCATATACCACCCTCTCAGATACAGAGTTAGTAGATACACAATAATCCAATAATAAAATCGCTATCAACAAACTGACAAACAAAAACAACCTAACATCCCTACTTGACACAAGAAAAACAAATACGCAAACCGAATAAGGCGACTAGAATACCGCTCGCAGAAAAGCGAATGAAAATATGCGCATACGAAACTTTGCGAACGGCCAAAAATTAGAACTTGTGGCTGTTCGCAGATTTAGGAACAATCTACATACGTTTCTATGTTTGCGAAGGGTGAAAAATTGACCACCTGGTCTGCCCTCGATTTTAAATCTTAGGTATTGTTTTAAAATTTCTAGATAGTAATAATGTATGGAAAAAAGGTCGAATTACAAAATGTCGAATTGTCACAAATATCGAATAGCAAAATGTCGAATAAATAAAGGTCGAAAATATATTCCTGGACAAAATTATCGCACCACTGCACATAAGCAGTGGTGCGATAATTTTGTCCAGGAGTATATATAAGGTCGAATAAAAAAAGGCCGAAAATAAAAAAGGACGAATAACAAAAGATCGAATACCCGAAGGTCGAAGATACACTAGGTCGAATTACAAAATCTAGAATAGCAAATAGTCGAAAATACAAAACGTCGAAAAACAAAAAGCCGCAAATATGAAAGGTCGGAAAAACAAAATGTTGAAAATACAAAAGATTGAAAATACAAAAGGTCGAAATACAAAAAGGTCGAATTACACAATTTTTTTTTTCTTTTTGTTCTATTCATTTATTTTTCTGTTAAATGAAAGAAAAAAATCCAATTTAATAGTATCTAATATTTTATAAAAAAAAACTCAAAAAATATTAACAAGATTTATTTCAAATAATTACATAAGTGGAAAGAAAGGATCATAAATTATAGGCCAATTCAGATAAATAATTTAAAAAATAATCCTTGGAATTTCCAAAATTTGCTTCAAAGCTCAGAACTTCATTTTTTAAAACCCATTTTTGTTTTTACATTTTTTCCTGGAACGTTCTGTTTCGTAGCCACATAACAGTTGATTCAGCTTTAATTCTTGGAATGACTGTTCTCCTAAAAGTCCATCCAAAAAAGCCCAAAATGATGGTTGTTTTGCTTGAAAATTACTGAGCAGGCTATTATGCCAAGATTCTACCACATTATTCGTTCTTGGTTTTTCATTAGTTGTTCTTTCATAATAATTTCATAAATGATGAACAAATATGGGTTTTACTCTTTGTTTTTTCTCAGATTTACCAATCCAGGTTTCTTCAAAATATTGTTCAATAGAGTATACTTCATTACCTGTAAATTCTTTACTTGAGCATAGGAAATTGAAAGCTTTTTCTACATGACAAGTTGGAACAAATGAAAGGGCTATAAACATTTTTATTTTCTACTGAACTATTACAACCATATAATAGCTTGGTTACGATAATCATAAACAGGGTCTTAACTCCCAAGGGAGTTCATAACTCCCGCGCGGGAGTTAAGGATATCATAACTTAAATGACCTTTCATGTCATCGAGAGGAGAAGCTAGAACCAGCGAACCTTGATATCATATGGCTAAAATTCACCTCAAAGTCATCGACCAAGTTTATCTGCTGCCTCTACCGACCGCCATCTAACACCGAGTACCAAAACTTTTTCGCGACATTATCCGAAAGCTGTGATAGTATACAGTCAAACTATCCACAGGCGGAAATTGTCTTTTTAGGCGATTTCAACGTCCACAATATACCCTGGCTGAAACACCACAACAAAACAGATAACGAAGGCAGAGAAGCAGAAGCTTTTGCCATAAGTTGTGGTCTAACGCAGCTTGTCGATGAACCTACCCGTAGCTCAGAAAGGGGCGAATTTGCAGCGCTTTTAGACTTGTTCCTAACCACAAATCCTGACTCGTACACAATTCAAGTAGATGCTCCACTTGGTTCGTCCGATCATAAACTTATAATAACAAAGTGCGAAATGCTCATCCCACCAAGCCAACAACCACTTCCTCGTAAAATGTGGCACTATAAATCGGCAAAATGG